ACCTTTCTTTTAACACAGGTTGCAATAATACCGGTGAGGAGTCGGCAGTAAATAAGGACAGCTTGAGTGAACAGACTAGATTAGATTGCACTGGGACATCTGCTTAGTGAAGCCAGCACTTTCTCTGGGAAAGGAAGTCCTCTACATGCGCCTTAGGGCCATTGTCTTTCATGCATTCAAAGTTGTGGTTTCTTCTCCATCCACACCCTGCATTGAGCGCTCAACATCACTACGACCACTGTTATGTTACTGTACACCTGCTACTATTGTGCATTTTAATTTGTCATCTCCGCTTTGATGGTTTGCTAAAACCCATATCATAAGATCTATATTGTGTCTTTTAAAGCAGGACAAAACACTTTTTCATATTTAATGCACTTGTACAAATATGTCTGTGGATTTAGGAGCTGTTTCATAGGATACCAGGAAATGTTTAACCCCTATTGTAAAGAGACAAAAGATGTGTTTTAATCCTGCTGTGAGAGGCAGGCGGAGGGGGCGGGGCGTGAATTGGAGGGAGGGGAGAGGGGAGAGGGTTGAGGGGAGGGGGTGTGTCACAGGGGCTGGTGCTGCTGCTGGTGTAGTGATTTTGTGAGGGAACCTACGCCTCCATTTACTGTCATTCACTCAGAGCAGAAACATCAGGAATTTACTGGCAAAGGATTATGACTGGACTAAACTGGACTAAGCCTATAGCCAGCCTGTTCTGAAAGGAGTAAACATCTGATGGTGGAAATCTTATTCAGAAGGTGATGTGTCATATTTGTTTTTTGTTTTGTTTTTGAATTTAAGATGCTCTGGACATCACCTCTTGTTGAGAGATTGACTGTGACCCAGTGGTTCATAGGCTGGTGGCTGAGTTGTGTGGTTATTCATTATTAAGATCTAAAAATGGTTACAGAAAAACTTTATCATACTGATTTAAAAAGTTTTAAGGTCTAATTACTGTGTATCATCTTTTGTGTTTCCCTATGTCATTGCTTGTTGAATGGGAAATCAAGATGTACTTGTAGATATCATATTTTTTAATTGGTATGAGGCCTCATTAGTTTTTACATTTGAATATAACATAGCATTTACTTCATGGTGTTATTTGGTATTTTGTTTGTTCTTTTTTTTAAATAAATTTTATTTCTAACATTTCCATGACATCACATTTTAGACCATTTTCAAATCCACTGCTGATCGCAGAAAACACGTTCTTAGCATGTCTATTACTCAGACCCTGATGAACATACAGTAGATGGTGGGAATGACACGTCCTTGGGCTAATTATTTCTCCTGTTTGTCGTTAACAGTGCTGCACTCACAGAGCGTCTCTCATTAGACCTAAATGTGCCTGGTCCCCGTCCCCTGTCACCGAGGGAGCACTTCCCTTCACAACAAAGCCAGCACCAGCGCTCATTAGCTGTACCTAACATTATGCAAACAGCCTGACATCTCACTTTGGCTACCATCCTGTGACTTTTACACACATGAGTTCTATTTGTGTTAGCCGCACATTTAAAGCACTGTTCAAAGGTTTAGTGAGCAGTGAGGAATCCTGTTAAAAAATAGATTCTTGTTTGTCTGCATTCACACCAAAATGTATTAACAATCCTTTCCAAATCTCATGACAATTTTAAATATGAGATGAAATTTGGAGATGGAGAAAATATCCACCAAAAGTAAGGGTTTGGTTGGCAATATTTATCAAAATTCCATATTATCACAAGAATTAAAGCCACAATTAGAATTTTAACACTATATTCCTCAAACCTATTAAGCATTTACCCCTGAATGAGATAATATTTGAGAGTTTAGTCCAGGCCTGGGCACCAAATCACTGCAATGTATCACCAGTGCCTTGGTGTAGTGTTTTGCAGTGTCTACTTTGTTTTTGTACATTGATCCTTGTCTTTGTCAGTAGATCTTCTGAAGAGTAAGATGTTCAGACTTGTTCAAATGCAGGACTTACAGGGCTTTTCCAGAGCGTGACACAGTTTACATTTGTGCTTTGCTCGAGGCCGTCTCTTAATGACTGTTTACATGCTCGTCAGGAATTAACTGGTTTACTATAATTGCTAAATCTCTTCCGTCGTCTGGTGAAAGCTTTTTGGGATTCAAAGAGACATTATTATCTTCTGTGTTGTTGTGGCAAATGAATTGCTATATTTACACGTTTGGTTTGAAGTCGTTAGAAAGTCTCTGACAAGAAAATGGTTTAAATGGTTTGTTATTTATCCTAACAATAGTAAACATTGCAAAGCCTCCATTGTTCCGTCCTTTTACTTTTCCATTTGTGCCATAAACATTTTAAAAAGCTTTGGACAAAAAAATATATTTATGTGCAAAAGACCACACAATTGATGAAGAAACTGCATTTTTATTGCACTTTAGGCTCGCCTCAGCCAAGCCACGGACTGCTAACATAATAAACACAAAAACAATATTGTTCCAGTGAGATATTGTGTAATTTTGGACAGAAATGTCTGTTATCCACAAATGGTTTTACTGTGACAACAACTGTGGTTGATTTTTTTATTTATATTTTTTTCTGTGGTTTCACTTTTTTTTCTCACACATAAATTAAAACGTGATAATTATACAGTATTTATTTAAACCCTCTTTGCGATTAGTCACACCTCAGTGAAATGCACAGTTCTTCATAACAGCAGGTCAGAGGTGTATGGATGCTGCTACTTGGGATAGAGACATCTTACAGGGATCTGGAGCACCCAGTGTGTGTCTTCTCTCTGGGTGTTTCGTTGACTTGTTTGCAGCCTGCTGTTCACATCTCCTCTGAGTCTGACCCCTCTTATCGCCATGGCAGCTGAGCCGGACCGGGCAGCGTGGCGTCCTGTGACAGTGGTGGTGGGTGGGTGGTGGGGCACCGGCTCGATGTCATGGAGGGAGGTCTTCTTTTGATGGGATCAGCCTTGAGCGCTTTCAAACAGGATGCTGAAAGGTCACTCAGCACTTGTGTTTTATTCATGGGGCTAAGCTGTAATCAGGAGCTTTGAGTGAATGTACAGTACAACATATGGGGCCTGGCCTGTGAGCTGGGAGGGCGACCTGTGTTATGGAAATAAAGTAGTGACATAGCTGGACTACAGGTGTTATAATAATGCACTGTTTTTATATAGCTCTTTTTACTGTAACTCAAAGACGCTTCACTATAAAGTAACACTAAAAAAAGGACAGGACAGAGTAAATAAGTAGAGAGGAAGCAGTCGTGTGTGGAGGTTATTGGCTATGAGTGTTAAAGTGAGTTTTGAGCTGCTTTTGAATCTGAGTTTCTGATATGAGGTGGGCGAGAGTGAGTGTTAGAAATATAGAGTTCGAGGGACATGGGAATGCATAAACAAATGCACTTTTTATTCATGAAAAAATTGCTTTACGTATTAAGGTAAATCAGAGCAGCGATGCTCATACCACTCACTGACAGAAGCATGTGTGGCCCAAAGAGGCTTCATTGAACATAACAGAGGTACTCATGATATGTGGGTAAAGAGTGGGGAGAGACATTCATCAAAACCAGGATTCAAACTCTCAACCCCAGGCATTGATCTGCAGTGTAGTGTAGACCACTAGACTATCGTTCAGCACATAAATTACTTTTTTGGACACATTTCATTATCTTGAAATTGAAAATGCCATAACTAAATGGCAAAAGAAGTTGACTCGGCCCACACTAGAAAGTAAATTCTACTTTGATCAAAACATAACCTTTTCTGAAATCATGAATACTCTGAACAGATAATCCGTACAAGTCTGTTTGCTTTATGTTCACAGCAGTGGGCATTTTCCAGTGTAATCTTCTGCAACAGTTGTGTTTTGTAACATCTTTACCTTGATTGGAGTAAAATGGAATAGCTCACAGCACAGGAGGATGAAGGAGGTTGATGAAGTCTATAGAGAAAATAATGAAAAATGCTTTTGTGTTGTCAGAGAAGAGTGAATGTCAACACATAATTGTGCCTGTGTCCTGAAGCAGAAAGCAAAGTTGGCACAGGCTTTCTCAGTGGGGCTCCCAGACTTTTATTTAGAGCTCCACGGTAACGTCGATAAGCTTTTGCTACAAGTAAATTGGATTGGCTTCTTCAATCATTTTGTCCATTGATTTGAGTAGGTGTGTCTGTCTAGACTGTTTGAGGAGGCTGAAATGTAGGGCAGAGAAGGTGAAGGCAGGATATATGCACTTACCTCTAGTTCTTTAGCTTATGTCTTGTACATGGTGACTTCAAATTGCAGTGAAATCGACCAAGTTCTTTGAAAATAACTGCATAGGATTTTCAGCGTTGATCAGTCGTAACACGCAGACAGAGACAGAATAGCAACAAATGCCAGCATTAAAAGGGACAGAGTCTTAAATTGCCATGCAGGACAGCCAATAGAGAAACAGGTCATCCTAGTCTCATATGTTAAAAGATGAATTCTTGAGGTAGCTATTAGTTGTGTCTAAGCTCAATTATTTAATATGACATTTGATTGTTTTTGATAAAGAAAATTATTAAAGGGCACATCTTATGCTATTTTTTCTGCTATAATGTTGTTTCCTCATCAAAAACATACCGGGAGTTGTGTTTTGTTTCATTCACACATTTAACACATAAACCCTGCATATTTAGGTTGTGTTCTTCTCTCAAACAGAAAGCACTCTGTTCCACCCTGTGATTTCATGTGGTAATATAGGAAGTACTCCACTGTGTGTTTAAACTCTTTACACCTTCACTAGGATAATTTGGATGATTTCAGACCTGGAATTGCCCATCTCAACTGTGTAGCTGTAACTTAAAAACTACCACAACATGATATCACAGGGTGGAACAAAGCATTTTGAGTACTGGAGATGTAGACAGACCAATAATAAAGGATTACTAAAAGATATGTGGAAGAAACAAAACACAACTCCAGGTATGTTTTTGATGATGTAACATTATAACTTAGCTAAAAGCTCACAAGAGTCGGTTTTGAGTAATATATGACCTTTTAAAACTATTTTCTTACCTTTCTTTCAGATCAAAGAGAATCAGAACAGAGAAGTGACTGCTGGGACAGGGGTTTTTCGGGTAAGTCGGAAACATTTTTGAATACATTTTTTCCAAACACTTCGGTGCCAGCATGATTCCTACTGCGACCTTCCGGCTCTGTGGAATCAAGCCTCTTGTTCTTCTCAAAGACACCCCCCCCCCCCAGACCAGCTCACACAAATGCCAGTCTGTTCGTTAGGCTGGCAAGTGTCTCCAGTCTAAATATGTCCATGTCTTAATGTGCCAAAGCATTAATACAAAAACACTGTGTACAGCTGACAGACACCTAAATGACTATCTTTGTGGTTTGTTCTGGTTTCATTCTGGATAGCTCTTCTCTGATGCTCTGTTCATGATGTAACCAGAAGGGAAATACTCCAATGGCTCCATGAATATAGTCAAAATTACCTTATAAAATACCCAATGGGAATAACTAACTATAAACTTCAATTTTTTTCAGTTTGAGTTTTGGACATTTGAAATAGTTGGAAATTTGAGGTATTTGGTCATTACAGTTTTCTTAGTACAAAATAAATTTCTGGCCAGACTTTCTATATTTGCTCAAACTACATGGCTCCGTGTCTGTGGATGTCGTGGCTCAGCACGACTCAAACACAACAGGACAAAAAAAAACTTCAAACTGACTTTCAACACACAGAAAAACGCCTGTAATATTATACTGTAGAAATGAAAGAGGATTATACATAGGATCTTGCAATAAAATAGGACTTTACAATAGATTCTGTGTTCAATTCAACTTAAATTAAGGGACTTTCCTCAGCCTCTCCCCCTATTGGCCAGTTTCTTTAAGGCTCTGAGTGAGTGACAGATGGATTTAACCAGATAGATATAAGTATACTCTCAGGAGGAGCGGCTGACTTTAGTTCTATCTTAAAGTCTGTGTGTAGAAATAAGTTTACCTGAATCGTGATTAATTATTTGGCATAACCACCTCCACTTCTTTTGCAAAGTGTATTTTTGTCTTGCTATTTGTTTGGCAAAGCACTCTGGAAATGCCAACCCAGTCAAACTTTAGTAAAAGAATTGTTTGGTAACCTACTTTTTCATCATTCCCCACTGCCCCGATGTTCTGACAGTCTGCGACAATACTTAAAAATCACATAATGGTACTTAACGAGTGTAATTGAGTATAGTTCTGTCCCGTTATTGGTTTGTGATTTGTAGTAATGGACCAGGCTAAGGTAATGGCTGCTAATAAAGAGCTAAGCATGTGATCCTTGGATGCATTTAAGTCCAGAAGATTGACTTTGCACTCACGCCAGGTTTAAAAGATGACCATTATTCTGCCTCAGCCCCTTGTTGTGTGTGTGTGCATGTGTGTGTGTGTGTGTGTGTGTGTGTGTGTGTGTGTGATGGAAGCGTGTCCCGGTGTGGTGTAGGTTTAAGGCAGAGTGAGGAGTGCCCAGTGTCCGGTCGAGTGTGAAGCAGCCCAATCCAGGAGGAGGCCTGGACTACAGCTCAGAGGAGACAAAAGGGTCTGATAGGTCACTGCTCGTGCTACTGATACAAGGGCTGCACAGTGTTTTGCAGTAGAATCAAAACCGCTTTTCGAGTTGATGCAAAAATCTGCACAAACCTAAATATCCTTGTATCCTTGTAACTGTTTAGACCCTTAAAACATCTTCTGACATGCATGAGATTCTTGTATTAATTTATCAGTTCATATATCAGTCATCTCTCAAATGTGAATGCCCTGGAGATGAGGGTGAGTAATCTGATTATAAATTGAGATTATTTTGCTTAACTCAGGATTAAATGCAGTGATCTACATTCTGATTTCACAGTGTTGACATGGATTTTTTTTGGTTTGAAGACTTTATTTTGTTGCAATTATGAATGGATAAAAGGAGGTGAAGAGCGAGGAGAGACATTCTGCAAATGTCTTTTTCAATTTTACATTACATCACAGGGTTTTCTAACACCACATAGTACTTTTACCACAGCCTTCTCCACACTCTCTCCTCTGCCTGTATACAGTATATGACTTTGTTTATGACTGCAATTCCACTTGTCGTGTGTGTGGGTCTCTGCTCCTGCTCTGAAGCTCTGGGGCTGAGTCCACACTTTTGAATGGTGGTCTGTCTCATGGAGAGCCATACTCAGGAGCTGGGTTTCATGTGGACACAGTGAGGCGTGAAGGGTCTTTGTCATCCACAGCAGTATTCAGGTCCCTGGCTTCAATAGAGGCCACAGCGGTCTGGGTTAGCTGCACAGAGCTGTCTCTCTTTCAGCGGCTCCTCTCACGTGCACTATTATTGTTTATGTGTGGGAGCTGAGGATGAAGAGCTAAAATTAGCCAACCAGAACTTTTCCACCCACAAATGGCATTGATATTGTTGCTTGTGTTAATACAGCCATTGAGACTTCAGGTCAAAATAAGGATTACATAACACTGCTTAAGTGTGTTTGAGAAGAACACATGGGATTGAAAGTTGAATGAATGGTTCTATGACCAAGAACAAGTGAACAGCTTTGTTAGCTGTTGTGCATTTCTACCTTATATTTGTTTTTGTGGTAGTCCCTTTGATTTCCTTTTAATTTACCACTCATTTTTTATCCTGAGCTTTAGTGTTGTGTTCCAGTTACATATTTCTCTGTTATTCATAAACACCAGAAGTGTGTTTGTAAGATGCAGTGAACTTTTTTGGCTCATGTTTTTCCTGAAAGCACATATTACACTGCAACATTTGGGACTGTGAAGGCACAGATGAGGAGCGGAGCTGAAACATCCCCACTGTTACTCTCGGGCCCCCGGGCTGCTCCCAGCGCTGTATGTTTCAGATGAACACGCTGAGATATTTCTGAGGTGTCTCTTTGATAGCAGCTCCACATCCCTCTGCTGGTCCTTTGTGTCAACACTCCTGTCTGCACTTGTAAAGTCTTAGCACTGCGGTGTGTGAGAGGGGAGTAGATGTGTGCTCTTGGTCTCTGTGGGTGTGTGACTACGGTGATCCAGATCTACTGTCAGGGAGATGGACATGAATAAACAAACAGCAGAATAGAAGAAGACACTGTGGCTTGGAGGCCTGTTCTGAGGGGCTCTGTACCTCCTTGAGATCAGCAGAGAGGGGCTTCACGCTCAGCTGACTTTTAAACTGCAGCCCAGAGCCAGAGACACTTCTATAAATCTTGCTTCACTTTTTTGCTTTTTTCTTTTAAGGCTGAGCTCTGCTGGAAGTCCTAAGTGAGCAATTATCCAGTGCTGTCCTAAGAATTCTGGTGATCTGTCCTATCATATCCATTAGATGAGTAACATAACATAAAACACATTTGAAAGCAGTTGATACAGTTTATTTTTATGAGGGGAAGTACTGTTTATAAAACATAGTAATACATATATTAAAACAAATTACAAAATCATTTTGACAAATCCAGAATCTTGAGGCACATTTCTCATATTAGAAAACCACTACCACTTTAAAACCCTTCAAAATCCCAGTTATCAAAATGTGAGAGCCTTTTAACACAGCAGAGGACTTCAGGTGCTGTGACTGGGGGGGAAACGGTCCTTGCTCCATTATGAATGTGTTGAGTGGATCGGTGAAAGAAGAGGATTTATGTGTGTGTGGTGAAGGTCGTGATCCAAGGCCACCTCTATCTTCTCATCAATATAAGGCCTGCTCACTGGGGCTGGGCCTTGAATATGAATGGATACATTGCAATGTAACCCCTCACTCACCTGCACCTGAAGCCATCTAATGAGAAATGGTCACCTTCTTAATATATGACGTGAATCCCAAAGGTGTCACTTATCTATTATTTTAAAGGGCTTATCTTATGCCAATTTCTGATCTATGTTATGATGTCAGCACAAACATACTTGGAGTTGCGTTTTGTTTTATTTACACATGTTTTACACAGAAACCGTGCAAATTTAGGGTTTAGAGTTCTTCTCTCAAATAGAAAATGCTCTATTCCACCTTGGAATGTCACATAGTAATAAAGGAAGAGCTCCATTGTTTTTTTGAAACTCCATACACCTTCACTAGAATCATTTGGATAAATTCTTTTTCTTTTCTGAATTAATGATAAATGGTCATTGGTAACTTGAAAACTACTGCTACATGACATCACAAGGTGGAAAAGAGCATTTTGAGCTTTGGAGATGTAAGCAGACTAATAAATGGTTACTCAAACATGTGCAAATGAAACAACACACAATTCCAAATATGTTTTTGATGACCATTGATGAACATTTTGTCTATATATGGGACCTTTGTGAAAAAATGCATAGCACTCTCAGATGGCCTATGTCCAAAAGCTTTTTTATTTTTAAATAACATTTCGGCCTTCAAAAAAAGCCTTCATCAAATATTTTTTCTTGCTTTGGACCACAGTACACTGTGTTTGTATTGTTGTCCAAAGCAAGAAAAAATATCTGGCGAAGGTTTTTATTGCCAATTTTTCCCCATATTTCTTCTAATATGGGACCTTTAATTACAGTAATGCAGTAGAAGTCAGTACAGCAAGAGCTTCTCCATATTCACAAAGAAATTGCTATACTGAAGAATTTCATATTAGTAATTTTGAACCAAGGGTTAACGATGCATATTCTTCAATTGTGAAATTGGGTTTTTAGAAGGAGCAGTAACTTTGAATAACAACACAGATGGCAATATAAAACCAGTCCTTTGGCAGAGGTCTTTAAGTTCTCCTAAGTACTTTTTTCTTGTCATTCTTCCTTGCTGTTATCACAAGTTGAATACACCTTATTTGCTCAAACCCTTAAAAACCCTTTATAAATACTGTAGAATACCTAAAGTGTATCTCTTTTGTACGCTCCCCTTTGTTTCACCTCATTACACCTTTAGAGTCATCTCAGGGTGTGTCTGTTACACTTCCTCTGCCACAATTACTGTTTCTGCACCTGCAATTGACTTGATGATAGAACAAACGGAGATGGCTGTGGATTGCTGGCACGCCACTACAGGAACAGTGAGTAACAATAATAAGTACTTCCTCCTGTCACCAGGATTGAATAAATGATAAAACAGAAATGAAGAAAACAGGATGCACTG